GATCTATATTAATGCATAAAAATGAGTTAGCTATGAATAAACATTATTTAGTAGGGCTGCAATGTATACAACATGTACTATGTGTCAGGTATTGTTCTGAGTCCTTTTTAATATTTTGAGTCCTTTATTCCTCACAACCCTATGAACTAGGGATTATTTAAAAAAATTTTTTAGTTGTTGATGGACCTTTATTTTTATTTATTTTATGCAGTGCTGAGTTTACTCCAGGACTACATTGGTTTTCAAATATATTGATTAGAATAGTCTGAGACTCTTCTGATTGTAGCATATGCTAATCTAACACAACCAAGATTGTAGGTCATACTGCTGTGAAAAATACTACCACATTTCAGCAGCTTAAACAACAAAAATGTGTTACTTACTCTGACTACATGAGGGGGGTGGGTGGGTTGTTCCAAGTTGTCCTTGTTGGGAACATAGGCCAAGAGAGGCTTTACCATCTTCAGCAATACTGGTCTTAAGGCTGGGGAAGAGTAAACACTGTAAGGACTTATACTGGCAATTAAATGCTCTACCAGGAAGTGACACATACCACTTGGACCCACAACCTGCTACAGCCTAGTCCCTACCTGCAAAGGGGGAGGGTGTCTGGGGTGGGCATGGAAAAGTGTAGTCTTTTAATGCGTGGAAGGAGAGGGTAAGCAATGTAAGTGTTTACCATTCTGGGAATTCATCTACTGATTGACTCGGGTTAATTGAGTTGCCCTTCTTGTAGCTGGATTTTTGGGTGGTTATCCAGAAAAACAAGCAAATAAAAACAACAACAAGAAACTCTATTAATAAGAAAGAAATGGAAGTGGATGGTAAATAATAGATCAATAATGTGAAGTATATGCTGCCTTGATCCAAAGAAAAAGACCAGAATTTCAGCTGTGGAGGCAAGTCATACAGAGAGAAAGTGTGGCTAGTTTCATCAGCTTTTAAATCAATCACTTCATTTACTCTTCTGATGGGAAAGATTAGCTCTGGCTTTTTAATGAGTGAGTATAGAGTTTCTATTTAAGGATATGGCTAAAAAATGACTTAAAACACTTACTGGATTTGAAAAGAGAGACTATTTTTCCACATTTCATTTTTGTAGTTATTGTCAATGGTATGTCAAGTTGGCTGAATTTATAGTTTTAGAACTGGCAACAACTACAAATTATCCAGTCCAACCCCCTTATTTTCAGATGATAAAACAGAGGTCCCCAATGGATAAAATCATTATTTCAAGGTTATACTTTCTTGCCTGTGCTAATAACTCTACTACCCTTTGTATGATTTTCTGCAAAATAGAATACCATAAATGAAATGTAGTTAGAGCAATGATTATAAAATAAGAATAATTAAAAGTTATTGAGAATATTTGCAGTGCTGACATTGAGTTGGTATACAGTGGTAGAGATGGAAAAATTTCTAAACTCTTTACTAAGCAGCAGCTGCTGAGTCTCCTGAATGCCTCAATCCCTCTTGGGACCCAGTGGATTTCCCCACTATCATTAACAATAGGATCCACCTCAAAGGTTTGATTTGAGAATTAAATGATGGAGGTGAAGAGCTTAGCTTGAGGCCTTGTGCTCAGCAATGTTACACCTTGGCTATTATTTTTATTACAGTAATAATAAAATGGTAGTAAATTTCAAACTAGTTTCTACATGAATGTTCACAAGTTAGGAAATGTGATAGCATTTTAGTTCATTAACTTTGATCTAGCTAATCTCTTAATAAAATGGCCACTCATGTACTCACTTAAACTTTCAGTTTGATCTTTTCCATTGTCTAAGAGTTGACTCCTTGCCCCACATCCAAGTCTTAGTCATCTCTGACAGAAGACTAAGAATGGACCCAGGCTGACCCATAAAAGAAAGTGACAGACTGAGAAGATCCTTTTAGTTCTTGTGGAGAATGTTTTGTACAGCCTTTTGTCGAGCAGAACTTGTCTATAATTTTTGGAATAAGCAAAGATAGGCCCAAAGCCTAATTTGGTGGGGAAGGAATGGAGGAAAAGATGGAGTACTTCTTGCCTGAGCAAATATGAGAAACTGGGAGTGATGAGAGGCAGAGGTAAGCAGCTGGAGTGAGAAGAGAAAGAGAATGAGGAGGCCCAGCAGCAGATCTGGAGGCTGGAGAGTGTGAATAAATACCTTTGACAGAGACACTTTCTGATGATCAGTGATGTGTAGAATCTTTTAGGGGTGCTTTCTCAGAAACAACCTTGTTAGAGAAAAGCAGTTTCAGGACTTTTTCCTCTTTGAAGAGAGTAGAAATGTATTTTCTGTTTTTGCAGGGCTGGGGATGGAACGCAGGGCCTTTCACTTGGCAGGCAAGCATTCTACCACTGCGCTACACTACCGAGCCCCAGAAATATACTTTTTCTAAGCTGGGATCTTTATTTGCACTAAAAGAGGCAGTGTAAGCACTCCTGTTATAAGTGATTGTCAGGAAATTCATTATCTGTCTGGAATGTGTAAAGAATTCTTCTCAAATGGCAGTTATTTAACTGATACTTCCAGTTTTGGGATGGCAGCTAAATCCTGGGCATCCCCTCAAATGGGCTTTGATAATACTGTTCTGTTACAGGCTGAGAAACACTCAACAGAGATCAGAATTGCTGAAGAACTAGTTTCTGACTATACTCCAGAGACATCAAAGTTGTTTGGTATTTTAATGTACAATATATTGTCTTATGAAAATGTGCTAAATCTTAGACAAACTTTTTTTTTTCTTCTTCGTGTTTGCATTTTGATGGAAAGAAGGTGGGAAAGAGAAATTTTTAAATTCCTAGGTTTTTGGAAGGGAAAATTGAAGACCAGATTAAAAAACCTGGATATTTTAAGGCTAAGGTAAAGCTTTGAACTTGGAGATCTGAATGAATTACAGAACATAACCTATAATGATATTAAATGAACCAGAAATATTTCTCTCTTAAAACAAAGTATGCCAGTTAAAATATTTTTTAGAATGCTGTGTTTAAACTAAACAGTAAATAACCACTCCACATCAGGCTTATCTAGGGAGGGGATGTAGTTGAGCGGTAGAACACATCTAGTATTAGCTTGTCTTAGGCCCTGGGTTCTGGGTTCAATTTCCAGCCTGTGTGTGTGTGTGTGTGCGCTCGCGCGTGCCCATCAACATTAAAATCTAGAGTGCGACTGATACGTTTTGCTTTTGACCCATGTAACGGGTGTAAGTCTAAAATTTGTTTATTTCTAACAACCAAAGTGTGTAACTCTTACAATTTTTTAAATTTATTTAGTCCAGGTGTCTCATGGGCGGGCACCATCCATGCATTTCCATGCATTTAATAACTGGTTATTGAATGATTTTGTTAAATGATGACACCCAAACTCCCTGGGCTAAGAACATAATTCTGGCTTTGCTAGAAAATGGCGGGGAGCGCGTGTGGAAAGTCTCACCCTGGCTATGTGACTCAATTTTCCTCTCAGTTTTCTCTTACAGGGAAATAACCATAAAATGACTGCAAAGTACTTGGCCCCTTTTGAAATCTGACAATAAACCAATGTCTAGAAAAGTCTCTGAAAGAAGAGCCTGAGCTGCTTGCGGGCAGGGATTTCCTTTTTTGAATCAACAGTATCTTATTTGTATCTCTGAAACACAGTTGTTGGTCTAGAAAAAAGTCTCGATACATAGTGAATTTATGAACGCTATTAGACAGATTGCATTCTTGGCAGACCGCTGCTACTTAAATCTGTGAGCCTTTCAATACTTAGAATCTCAAAGGCGGCCGGTCTTTGCTCTATAGTGAATACCCATTCTATTTACTAAAAAGAAATAAAAAATAAAAATAAAAAGGCAGGCCGAAAAGAATAATTCTTGGCCTCAGGGAACCATTTAGTCTTTCTAGCTAGCTTTGCCGGGGGTTTGGGTTCTGGGTCCCGAGGCTACAGGGAAGAGTTCAGGACGGGAAGCTCATTTTCCGGCCCTCTGATTGGCCGGCTCGCACTCCACTCACGAGGCTGTCGGCTCTGATTGGGTCCTGCGACACCCCTCGGCCTGAGACTACTTTGTGTGCCGGGGCGGCGCGCCCAGGTCCTCCCGCTCAGCTCGCGGTCAGGACTGGCCGGAGGTAGCTTTACGGCCCACTGCTCTGCTTCGCGGGCGCCAGGAATTTCCCGAGTCCGAGCGGGTAGGAAGCATCCTAAGGAAAAGTCTCTCCCTCCCTCCCGGTGCTGTTCTCTTCCCCGTACTCAATAAACTTCCGCTTCAGAGGGCTGCTGTGGCCGCGGGTCGGGAGAGGCCCTTCCCGCTGTGGCCCTCGTGGGGGGTCTTTCTCTTTGCGCAAATGTGGACACACAGCTCCCACAAGACAGGGCTGCGCTGGGCTGCGTGGGAGCGGTGCCCTTGTGGGATCGCGCTGCGGGCTGCGGCCGAACGGCCGGACTGGGCTGCAGGGACTGAGTAGTAGCAGGGACTGAGTAGTAGCAGCAACAACAGCAGCAGCGACCACCCCTAAAAGTAGGAAGGAACATGCTTCGAATCCCCATAGCGGCTCCACCTTCGGGCCGCGGAGGTCGTCCCCCCGCCCCCCCCTCCTTCAGGCGCTCTAAAGAAAACGGCGTTCCCTGAAGGTGGCTCTCCCTGGCAGAGGTGCGCTCGACTCGCGCCCCCTCTGCCTCCAGCCTTAAGGCGGTAGAGGGCGGCCTGTGCCTGTGTGTGAGCCGGACTCAGCGTCCGTGCGCAGCCTCTGCCTTGCTGGAACTCTTGCCGTCCCGCTGTGGCCCGAGGCTCTTAGTGGCGGTGGATGCTGCAGCTACGCTTTCCACGGGCTCAGCGAGAAAGGGGACGGGGAGGAGTTCTGGCACGTGCCAGGGTCGCCGTAGGAGGCAGCGGCCAGCGCATGCGCGCTCTCTCCCAGAAGCGTGGAACGCTGAGGGGCGCGCGCCCCCATCCGCGCGTGCCCGCCCGCGCCCCCATCCGCGCGTGCCCGCCCGCGCTGGCAGAGGCTTCCCCGCCTGCGCTTGTTGTCGGAGCCGCTCCGGCGCGTGCGCGCGTTATCTCGGGCCGACCCTAGTGGCCGGGTTCCCTCGGTTCCAGGCCCCCGCCCCCCGCCGCCTTCTCTCGGCCCCCAGCCAACCGGTCCCCTCCCTCTCCTCGCGGAATGGGGCCGGTGCTACTTGGGGTCGCGCGCCAGGGACCCGGCTCGCGCTCGGTCTCGCGCTGTCAGCTACTGCCCGGCTCGCGCCGCCTCGCGCTCTCCCTCAGTCAGTGGCGCCGGAGGCTCCGTTAAGCGGCGACCGTGGTTCCTGTTTCCGTTTCTTCCTCTCCCTTCGGTCGGGAGTAGCATCCTCCACCCAGCCACCCCTCCCACTCCCCCATCGCTGGGCAGCTGCGGCTGAGGGTTGTGGCGGCGGCGACGCGAAACGGCGGAGACCCTTGCTCCCGCCTCGGGTAAGGGGGCGTTAGGAGTCGGGCCCCGCGCGCCTCGGGTATTGGGTTGGGCGAGCGCGGGATCTGTGGAGGCTGTGGGGCTGTCTCTTCTCTTCTCCGGGCGACCCCTGGGCCTGTTGCTGCAACTGCTGCTGCTTATCCAGCGGCTCCCGGAAAAGTGGGGAGGGAGACCCCGGGAGCTCTGGCGGGTGTCCTGGCGCGGCCCGGGAGGCACAGGCAAGGGTTGAGGGGTAACCACCGCCAAGCCGGGACGCTGCGCTGTGGCAGCCACCGCGTCGCGCATCCTTGCTTAGGGCAGGGGCCGAAGCGGAGGAGAGAAGGGATGGGGGCGGGGGTGGGAGGTGTCCCTCAGCTTTCCTTATCCCCAGACTGCACCTACCCTTTGGGCAGCGCTTGGTGCCTGTAGTCACCGACTGTGGGAAGGAGGATGCCTCTGTGTTATGGGGTTTCTGGGAGGGCTTCTCAGGCTACAAATCATGGAGAAAACCCGCACAAAGATGCGCTGGCGGCAAGGGGCCGATGCAGGGCAGTTAACGGCGTGACTGCCTTAGTGCCTCCTTTTGATGTGCAAATGTGCTGGCGGCTTTTGAGTGCCTAAACTTGTTTGGAAAGGTTAAATGCGCTTATATTTATTAGTTCAAGGAGGTTTGTCCTGCCAGTGTGAGTAGGTTGTCGGATGCAGCACCTGTTCTCTTCATGGTGGGAATTGCAATCTTCCGAGACGCAACGTATTTAAGTTAAATGGCAATGTCAGGGTTAACGGGTTTACCTCTGATGAGCATTTAGCATTTTGGTGCATATTACCCTTTAGAATGAGGATACAAGCAGGGAGAAGTGGCGTGTTTTTCCTATCTGTGTTTAAATTAAGCTAACTCAAGAAGGTGGACCCAGGAAAGCCGGACTGCAGTAGATAACCCCAAATCTCAAGTCTTCTGTAAGAGTGTAATGCAAATTTTTTATTAAGAGTTAAACTTGTCACGAGTAACTGACTTGACTTTGGCTTATCTCTATAGAAACTGTAAGTGGGTTTCATTATAGATTTTTTTCTTTTTATTTCTGGGGTTAAGTGAATTAAGTGCAAATTAATTTTTTTGATTAAATTGGAACATGTTTTATGCCCAGTTCTCTAAAAAAGGTGCACCATATAGAAAGTATTTTAGGGGAGAAATTATACACTGAAATGTGTAAGTTGTCTCTCTTCTTTAAACTTAAAACAACCTAAATCCCTAAGCCAATTGTAAGTTCCTGTTTGTTGCTATCCTTGTGAAGTATATTATAAAGTGTGTATAGAAAGTCTTAATTATAAATGTTGTGTTAGTTATACATGCTATTTATAAATAACTACAGTAGGAAGGACAAAGTAGAAAAACAAGCATTTGAAATTGTGATTTTTATAGGCTTTAATATGTAAAAATGTAGGGAGTTAGATGAATAGACTTGGAGGCATGGATTTTTCTTTTGCTGCTCTATAAATTGAGAATTCTGTTTGAATTGAGCAGAACAGCTGGTATGAAACTTGCATAGTTTGCAGAAAATATGCAAAAATGTGTCTTTGATCAAATAGTTAACATGAAGGGTGTCTTGTAGTTTACTAGGAGAATGATTCAAAATAGTTTTAATATGGTACTGTATAGATTGTATTTATGTTTGTGAATTTATCTAAAAAGTCACTTTAAGTTGTTTTCCTGCAGAAACAATCATTCTGATTGCATTTTGGAATGTTTTATTACAAATTCTAAACAATTAATTTTTAAGGAAGAGGAATATCCTTAAAAGTATGAATTTTGAAATTTGCTAATGGTTTGAAAAACTTGTGTTCGTCGTTTGTTGTTTTAAATGTAGTTACATTAGTAGGTTGGTCTGGAGGGGGAGCTAGTGCCAAAGCAAAGTATCGCTTAATAGCTGTTTGAACTTTGAAAACACTAAAACCATATTTTTTGACCAGGAGAAACATAAATTTTTGATTAAAAAAGTAGGGGAATTAATGTGGGCATATATCTGCACTTAGTTATTTGTAGGGTGCATATGTTATAATTACAAAGTCATCATCTGAAATAATGAAAGGAAGTGTTTAAGTTTCTTGAATTTCTCACGTAAAATATCTGAAAATATGTCCTAGTGTGTGATAGTCTTTTCTCAACCTTCTTGTGCAGCACATTGAAAGGGAATATGTGTTCTTGACCCTTTGTGCAATTGTGTGTTAATTTTTTTCTTTCTAATATTTGTAGTCCTAAAAAGTGTTTCAAGCAGAGTCTTGTATAGGTGGAGATATTAATTTTATAGTAAGGTTGGTATTTTTCAAAAGTGGAAATACTTTAAAAAAGAAATGGAGGGCTGGGGTCATAGCGTAGTGATAGAGTACTTGCCTAGCATGTGTGAGGCACTGGGTTTGATTCTCAGCACCACATATAAATTAAAAAAAAAAAAAAAAGGTCCATTGACAACTTAAAAAAAAAAAAAAGAAAGAAAGAAAGCAGTATCCCCGTGTTACTTCTTAACCTTTATAATTGTTGTCTTCTATAATATAATGCAGGGGGTCTAGCTGATCTATTAAATTGAACTTGTATCTTTGATTTTGTGGTCTGTGTCCCTTATTTAGATTTCTGAACTGTCATCAGTTAGATATGTTGTTTTATTTCTGATCATTCACATGTCTTAAATTCAAGCCTAGAAACTGATAATGATGTGTAGATTAAATCATTAGCATATTCACTTTTCTGAGGACAAGAGTTGATTGTTATCTGTAAATTATGTAAAGAGAATCTCAATGATGATAAATAAAAAATAATTTTTAAAATTTATTTAATGGTTATTTTTGTTTTACTATAATCTGCAATTAGTAAATATCTTGGTTTAATTAAATGATAGATGCACCTGTTTCATTTTATAACACATACATAAGTATAGAAGAAAGTGTGTCATTCCATTTTATGAACATAAAAGTAAATATTTTTTAAAAGTAAGTTTTTCTTTTCCTTTTGTGTATGTGTGTGTGTGTGTGTGTGTGTGTGTGTGTGTGTGGAGGGGGGTACTGGGGATTGAACCAAGGCCCTCAAGGATATTTGGCAAGTGCTTTACCTCTGAATTATACCCCCCTGCCCTTTTAATTTTACTTTGAGATAGGGTCTTGCTAAGTTGCCCAGATTGACCTCCATCTTGTGATCCTCCTGCCTTAGTCTCCTAAATAGCTGGAATTATAGGTGAGTGCCAAAGCACTGGGCTGGACTAATTTTTAAAGAGCCTTAAAAATATCTTCGGGGCTGGGGATGTGGCTCAAGCGGTAACTCGCTTGCCTGGCATGCACAGGGCGCTGGGTTCGATCTTCAGCACCACATAAAAATAAAATAAAGATGTTGTGTCCACCGAAAATTAAAAAAATAAATATTAAAAAAATTCTCTCTCTCTTTTTAAAAAAAATCTTCAACAAAAGTGTATTTTTGGGGTGTGTGTGTGCATTTAAAAAATGTGTTAGAATTGATTAATATCAAGTCTCAACCTTCTTCTCTTTGCATTCTCTCTTGCCTAAATTTCCCCTCCTCCAACTACCCTTCCTTATCTCACAGTTTTCTTTTTGGAATGATTTAAAATCAAACCAATAAAGTTAACCTTATCACTCAACTTGTGGAGGTTTTTCTTCCTTGACTAAATAACTTTATATGAATCTCTAAAATATTTTGAACATATAACTTATATAAACTTTATATGATACTGTACATTTGTCTTTCAGTAAAAAAAGAGCAAATTAAATGTCTATGATATTATGCCATGGATGTCAATTACTTCTTGTATAACACTTCACAGAAAGCATAACTATAGGGTTAATTTTATTTAAGGTTTCTTTTAAGAAGTCTTTATTTGATAAAACCTAGTATCCTACTCATATTACTATTTAAAAACATTTCTCTGTGATAGTTTTGGTCATAAAAAGATGAAGGGTGGAGCTGGGGTTGTAGCTGAGTGGTAGAGTGCTTGCCTGGCATGGGTGAGGCACTGGGTTTGATCCTCAGCTCCACATATAAATAAATAAAAAATAAATAAAATAAAGATAATGTCTCCATTTACAACTAAAAACCAAGAATTGTACTGGTTGGTAGCCAGCCTTGTTGGAGATAAGGGAGTTGTTCCTCCTCCCCCTCCCTCTCCCCCCCCTCCTCCCCCTCCCCCTCCCCCTCTCCCCCCCCTTCCACTTTCTTCTATTTGTCACCCTTTCCTGGCAGTGGTAGGAAATATGAGAATTGACTTTGGGTTTTCCTTTTTTTCTTCTTTCTTTCTTAAAACATTAGTTCTTAATGTTATAATAGGTTTTTTTTATGATGAATTTGTTTACTTTTGAGATAGTAGGCAAAAGATCAGAACATCATTTTTATACTTTGGTGGTACTAGAGATTGAACCCAGGGCCTTGCAGATGGTAGGCAAGTGCTCTCTACACAGCTGTTATTTCCAGTCTTTTAAATTTTATTTTTGAGACCGGGTCTTGCTTGTTAGTTTCTTGTGCTAGTCTTTTAACTTGCGATCTTCTTCCATCAGTCTCACCAGCATCTGGGATTACAGGTGTGTGCACCATGTACTGCAAAGTTTTAATATTTTTTATTGAAAAATAAATTTGTAACTTTATATGAAAAGGGAGATGGGACTAGTGGTGTATGTAGCCTAGTGATTAGAGCACATGCTTAGAATATAGGAGACCATAGATTCAATCCCCAGCACCAAAAACAAACAAACAAACAAAGGGGTTGTGGAAGATGGTTTATGATTAAGGGTCATGGATCAGTCACATACTTATTCTACCTAATGTTTAATATAATCCCCTCTTCTACTTTCCTGGAGTGCATTCTCATGTCCCTTATTTTTATCTTCATCTATAGAGTTCCTGACTTCGAGGAATTGGTTTTTATAAAAACAAATTCTTCACCTGTTTTGTATGCCTCATTGCAATAATATCAAATACTATGTTCATTGAAGAGAGCTTTAAAAAAAATATTTTTAGCTGTAGATGGACACAATACTTTTTTAGTTTGTTTATTTAGCTTTTCTATGTGGTGCTGGGGATTGAACCCAGTGCCTCATGCATGCTAGGCAAGTGCTCTACCACTGAGCCACAACCCCAGCCCAAAGAAAACTTTTTTTTTTTTTGTATTAGGGATTGAACCCAGGGGTGCTCTGCCATTGAGCTTCATCCTCAGCCCTTTTTATTGTTTATTTTGAGATGAGGTCTCCTGCCAAGTTGCCTAGGGTGGCCTTGAATTTGTGATCCTCAGCCTCCTGAGTAGCTGGGATTTTAGGAGTGTGCCCAGCTAAGAGAACTCTTAAACTCTTAAACAGTGTTCCTCTACTTAAGTGAGTACTCTAAGTGGGTTTAAGCCAGCTATTGTGAAAAGTTCGAATGGAGTAAATGTATTTGATAATTAGAGCCCTAATTGTTTGATTCAGTTTTTCCAACATGTGGAGTTGTACTTGTACCTAAAGGAGAGGTAGAGATTTAGTAGAGATTCTGTTACAGTTTTTGTGCTTTGAGTTCTTTGAATAACTATTCAGTTATCAAATGTCAAAAAATTAATAATTTTGAGAAAACCTATTCAAAGTTAGAGCTAAGTCAGGGTAAACATTTTGCTTTCTTTTTCATAAGTTTTAGATTTTTCTCTTTTAAAAAATTTAGTGAAACTCTAGGGTTTAGGAAGGAGGTAATTGAAATTCTTGGCCAAAAGGCTTTTCTTTATGCTTGGTAAATTGAGCCTCAGCAGTGTTAGGAATGGATGTTTAGTGAGTAATCCTGATTGCCTCCTCTGACGTAATTAGAGACAATTAGGCCTTCATTAACTAAAACTCTTTTTTTTTCCCCCCTAAGGTTCAAATATTAGAAGTATCAGCTTGATAAATAGTGGTGTATGTAGCCTAGGGATTAGAGTTTGTCAGTTATGCTAGGATGAGAGATAATAGTTGCCCTTAAAAGAGATTCTATTAAGTGCTTAAATTATAATAGCACAGGATGTAAAGAAAATGAAATCACCAAAGAAGTTTGTTTGGAACAGTTTTGTTAGACCAGATAAGAGTAACAGAATATATCCTCTATTCTGTAACTGTCTGCAGAGACTTGGAGCAATACAGATAGTTCCTAAAATAAAATAATGATAAATAAGTGTTTTAATAGGAATTATGTACAAATTTCCTCTGTATGTTTGTACAGTTTTTTTTTTAAAAAGAGAGAGAGAGAGGAGAGAGAGAGAGAGAGAGAGAATTTTTAAATATTTATTCTTTTTTAGTTTTTCGGCGGACACACATCTTTGTTTGTATGTGGTGCTGAGGATCGAACCCGGGCTGCACGCATGCCAGGTGAGCGCACTACCGCTTGGGCCACATCCCCAGCCCTATACTGTTCTTAATACTTTGTTTCCATTGCAAATGTAAGGCTGGAAAATAAGGTACCTAACTTTTGGAAATTCTAAAGGGAAAAGGATCTGAAGTTTGGAAGAATGCTGCTTTCTTTATGTTAGAGTGATATAGTACTTTTTATAGTTTCCTGAGAGCTGTAAGATCTTGAAGCTAAAATCAGAATTCCTTATTTGTTTAAGTGAAATTTTGTTTTCTTACTACTTTTACTAAGGTATAATTGGTAAATAAAAATATATAAATTTAAGGAGTACATGAAATGGTTACTACAATTAGTAATTATTACAGTGATTACTAGTCAAGCTAATTAACAGTCAAGCTAATTAACATGTTAATTAGCTCACAGTTAACCATTATATGTGTGTACTAAGAACATTTAAGATCTCCTCTTTTAGCAAATTTCAAGATTCATGACAGTATTACTAACTATAGTCAGCCCGATATACATTAGATCTCCAGAATTTATTTATCCTGTATAAAACATCTTGCACTGAAATTTTTGTACCCTTTAAACCAGCATCTTCCCATTTTCCCCTGTCCCTAGTATCCACCATTCTATTTTCTGCTTCTATGAATTTGACTTTTTAAAATTTCACATAGAAGTGAGATCATATAGTATTTGTCTTTCTGTGCCTTGCTTATTTCACTAAATATAGTGTTCTCTGGTTTCATGCCAATGACAGTGTAGGGGAGGCAAAACTTTTCCTTTATCCTTTCAGGTTTTTTCCCCTAACCTGGGCCTGAGAATTAAATTAACATAAAATAGATCAACAAGAGAAAAGAATACAAACTTATTTAATACAAATTTTATATGACCCAGAAGCCTTCATAAAGAAATGAAAACCTAAAGAGTTGAATGCTTACATACTCAGTAGAACAGTGGCTTGTGTCCCAGTGACTTGGGAAGTTGAGTATCATGAGTTTGAGTCCAGCCTCAGCAACTTAGTGAGACTCTGTTTCAAAATAAAAAGGGCTGGGAATGTAGTTCAGTGGTAAAGTGCCCTTGGGTTCAGTCCGGAGTATCCTCCTGTTCTCCCCAAAAAAGTAACTTGTAAAAAAGCAACCAAATTATATGAGGAGACTTAAATGATAAGAAATATTTTAATAAGGTTTGCACAAAATTCTCTCCATTTCAGCCTCTTCTCCTCAGTAAGAATGTTGATTCCGTTTAGTATCAGGAGGGTATCTTTCATGTGGGAATTTCATCTCCTGCTTTTAAGATATGGAAGTTTAGAATGATTCTCAGGTGCCTTTAACTCAAAATTATCAATATGCCAGAATGGCCTGTTATTTACTTTTTCAACAGGATTTCTTCCTTTTTTAAGGATGGATAAGATTGCACTTTACATATGCTTACACATACATTTGACACCCTGCAGCCCTGTATCCCACAGATTGATAGAGCCTGGGATGTAACTCAGTGGTAGAGCACTTGCCTAGTATGCACAGAGCCCTGGGTTTGTTCCCCATTACTGCCATGAGCACACAAAACAGAAACAAAAAATCCCCACCAAAAATATTCAAGAGACTGAAGATTGTAAATATTTGGGGGGGGGGGAACAACAAAAAAACCGTGCATCCATCCCGAAAATGTATAGACTCTTTCTTGTTGTTATGACACAAGAAGTATGGTATAACAGCTATTTATTTAGCATTTGCATTGTGTTAAGCATTATAAATGATCTAGAGATCATCTAAAGTATACGGTAGGAAAAAAAGTATATGGTAGGATTGCATGGGTTATATGCAAATACTATGCCCTTTTATATAAGGTAATAGGGTATCTGTGCTTTTAGTTATTTGTAGGGGTAGTTATTTGTATGTATTCTAGAACCAATCCCCCACAGGTACTGAGGGGCCATACTATATTTTCTTTACTCATTGATGGACACACCTAGGTTGATTTCATATTTTATCTATTGTAAATAATACTTCAAAGAACATGGTGGTAAAAGATCTCTGACATACTGATTTCATTTTCTTTGAAGGTATACCCAGAAGTGGGATTATTAGAGCATATGATAGGTCTGTGTTTTATTTTGGAAGAATCTGCATAGTGTTTTTTTATAATGATTGTACCAGTTACCACCAACAGTGATAAAAGGGTTTTCTGTTGTGTACTTTCTTGTCAACACTTGCTGTCCTTTGTCTTTATGTGAATAGTCACTACCAGGTGTAAAATGATATCTCATTGTGATTTTTTTTTGTTCTAATTAGTTATACATGACAGTAGAATGCACTTTAACACATCATACATAAATGGAGTATAACTTCTCGTTCTTCTGTTTGTATATGATGTAGAATCACATTGGTTGTATAGCCATATATGCCATGGGGTAATAATGTCCAATTAATTTTACTATCCTTCCTCCTACCATACCTGCTCCCCTCCCTTCACTTCCCTCTGCCTAATCCAAAATAACTCTATCCTTCCCTAGCACTGCTCCCATTATTTTGAATTAGCATCTACATTATCAGAGAAAACATTTCACCTTTGGTTTTTTGGGATTGGCTCATTTCACTTAGCATGATATTCTCCAGTTCCATACATTTACCTCAAATGCCATAATTTCATTCTTCTTTTTTTAAAAATATTTTTTTAGTTGTAGATGGACACAATACTTTTATTTATTTATTTATTTATTTTTATGTGGTGCTGAGGAATGAACCTAGTGCCTCACACATGTGAGGCAAGCGCTCTGCCACTGAGCCATAACCCCAGGCCAATTTCATTCTTATTTAAGGATGAATAATATTCCATTGTGTATATATACACCACTGTTTCTTTATCCATTCATCTGTTGAAGGATACCTAGCTTGGTTCCATAGTTTAGCTGTTGTGAGTTGAGCTGCTGTAAACATTAATGTGGCTGCATCAATGTAGTATGCTGATTTTAAGTCCTTTGGATATAAACTGAGGAGTAGGATAGCTGGGTCAAATGGTGGTTCCATTAGAAATTTTCTGAGGAATCTCCATACTGCTTTCCATAGTGGTTACACCAATTTGCAGTTCTACCAGCAATGTATCATTGAGGGAATTTTGGTACCAGGGATTGAACTCAGGGGCACTCAACCACTGAGCCACATCCTGGGCCCTATTTTGTATTTTACTTATCTGTATTTTATTCAGGGTCTCACTGAGTTGCTTAATGCCTCACTGTTGACAAGGCTGGCCCCGGATCTTCCTGGCTTGTTGTGATTTCGATTTACATTTCTATTATTATTAGCAATGATGAGCATTTATTCATATACTAGTTGGCTGTCTGTCAGTCTCTTTGTCTGTCTATCTATCTATCTTATATTATTTGGTGGTGCTGATGATCAAACCCAAGGCCTCATGCATGTTTAGACACGCACTCTACCAATGAGCCACATCCCTAGCTCTACATGTGTTTTTTTGAAAAATGTTTATTTAGGGCCTTTACCTGCTTTTTAATTGGGTTATTTGTATTCTTGATATTGAGTTGTTTAAGTTCTTTAATTACTGAGTTCCTTCATAGTAATTTATTTATTTGCGAACAAAGAAAATTACATTTTTTGGGGGTTAATTAGGATTACAGTCTGGGAAAACAGAGTCAAGCAATCTTGAAAATGTATTCTCCCTTCTCAGTAATTTAAAAAAAGAAGTTTGTTGAAGTATAATTTATATACCATAAAATTCATAGCTCAAGTTTTAGTAAATTTATACAGTTGTGCAACAATGGTCCCACTCTGGTTTTAGAACACTTTTATCTTCCAAAAAATCTCCCTCTTGCCCATTTTTTAAAAAAATTTTTTATTGTTGGTTGTTCAAAACATTACATAGTACTTGACATATCATTTCACACTTTGATTCAAGTGGGTTATGAACTCCCATTTTTACCCCGTATACAGATTGCAGAATCACATCGGTTACACATCCACTGATTTACATATTGCCATACTAGTGTCTGTTGTATTCTGCTGCCTTTCCTATCCTCTACTATCCCCCCTCCCCTCCCCTCCCCTCCCCTCCCATCTTCTCTCTACCCCATCTACTGTAATTCATTTCTCCCCCTTGTTTTTTTTTCCCTTTCCCCTCACTTCCTCTTGTATGTAATTTTGTATAACCATGAGTGTCTCCTTCCAATTCCATGCAGTTTCCCTTCTCTCTCCCTTTCCCTCCCACCTCATGTATCTGTTTAATGTTAATCTTCTTCTCATGCTCTTCCTCCCTACTCTGTTCTTAGTTACTCTCCTTATATCAAAGAAGACATTTGGCATTTGTTTTTTAAGGATTGGCTAGCTTCACTTAGCATAATCTGCTCTAATGCCATCCATTTCCCTGCAAATTCCATGATTTTGTCATTTTTTAATGCAGAGTAATACTCCATTGTGTATAAATGCCACATTTTTTTTAATCCATTCATCTATTGAAGGGCATCTAGGTTGATTCCAAAGTCTAGCTATTGTGAATTGTGCTGCCATGATCATTGATGTGGCAGTATCCCTATAGTATGCTCTTTTAAGGTCCTCAGGGAATAGACCGAGAAGGGCGATAGCTGGGTCAAATGGTGGTTCCATTCCCAGCTTTCCTAGGAATCTCCATACTGCTTTCCATATTGGCCGCACCAGTTTGCAGTTCCACCAGCAATGTACAAGTGTACCCTTTTCCCCACATGCAAGCCAGCACTTATTGTTGCTTGACTTCGTAATGGCTGCCAATCTTACTGGAGTGAGATGGTATCTTAGGGTGGTTTTGATTTGCATTTCTCTGACTGCTAGAGATGGTGAGCATTTTTTCATGTACTTATTGATAGATTGTATGTCCTCCTCTGAGAAGTGTCTGTTCAGGTCCTTGGCCCATTTGTTGATAGGGTTGTTTGTTATCTTGTTGTTTAATTTTTTGAGTTCTTTGTATATTCTGGATATTAGGGCTCTATCTGAAGTGTGAGGAGTAAAGATTTGTTCCCAGGATGTAGGTT